TTTTTTAAAATCCAATGTGTGGAACACATAATATTTCAAAAATTTTAACTTTTGAGTATAGATGATCCGCACTGTATATCGAGAAGGTTTTTATTAAGGTTTATTATGAAACCATTCTTTGAACTTTATCCGTAAAACCAAGATTTTAATTAGTATCCACTAAATCGAGATTCACTGTGTAATAATAATAATAATAATCCTGAATTACAATGCAAGTGTGCAATCTGAGTTTCCTATTTTATAGGGTATTTATAGCTCAACACACAGCCTCCTCACTGACTTATGGTTGATTCTATTGTTTGACACACAGCCTACTCACTGACTTACAGTCAATTTCCTTTATTTATATATAATGACACAGCCTATTTGCTGACTTACGGTCAAAAATTAATAAAATATAATTTTTATCCTTTGGATAAAAGGGTCCCTAGGTTCTATATACCTCATAAAATTCTGGCATTTCCAATGATTATTACATGATTTCCAAACTGAATTTTGACTTTATTTATATAAATGACCTAAAACTGTTGAGGTCGATCGCAATGGTTTTTTTATTAAATGATTTTAAATGACTTTTTTTTATTTAACCTATTAGCAGACTTGATTATTTATACAAGGTTAAAAATATTTATTATAATTTTATAATTATTAGGATTAGGATCAGGATTAGTGGTAGCATAATAAATAAATAATGGTAAATAAGTTGAAATTCTATAATTATTGATGTATATATTGTCTATATATAATATATAAAATTTTCCTAAAAATCTATATAACTATAAAACACGATTGATCAATCTTCCCGATAATTATTTTTGATCATCATCCTGTAAATCATATTTACCATTTTGACACTTCATCACACACCATAATCCATAAATAAGCTCAGATTGTTTCCTTGACTCAATGGCAATCAAATTGACATGGCATTTTTCTTCAGATCGCAATTGAAACCCGACATTTCTCCAATCGTTGATAGTTAAGTTTTCTGGTGTACAACAAACTTTTTTAAGGAACATTTTAAATTTGGAATTCAACAAATTTCTTATGTCACTATAATCATAATCATCTTTTGATAACCCATATAATCGTTGCACGTAATACCAGATTGCTTGTCGTAATGGAGCCACATCCAAATCATTATTTTGTTGTGTATATGATTGGAATAGGCTATAATAGTCGTTAAGTTCTTTGGCTTCTTGGAATTCATCATCCAGCAAATCACCTAGACCTGGCAAAAAATTATTTACCATTAGTGCGCCATGATCTTTCCAACAATAGTCCTGTAATTTGAACACAGAATATTCGTCACTGTTTATATTGAAATCTTCATATGAAATCTCGACCGATGAATCAGCAAATCTTGAGAAATCTTCAACGTGCTGGTTTGAAAGTTGTGGAACTGATGGCAACGAAGGAAGAAATTGACTATCAGTGTTGTTTCTAAAGTCGTGGCCATGTACAGATAACGATGAGGATGATGGTTGTTGATCTGCAAAAAAGGACGAAGGAAATGGGTCATTTGGAGAATCGCTTGTAAAAGTTTCTTCATCGCAATTTTCAAATTTACAGAGTTTAGGTGTAGAAGATAATCGTGACTCATAATAATCGTTATTATTGTCATCCTTGTTGTTACTTTTATTCTCGCTGTCATTGGCATTATTATTTTTGTTTTTATTAACATTAGTGTCATTTGAAGAGGGAGAAGAAGAAGATATTTGCAAATCTTTTTTATTTTTTAATCTTTTAATTAATTGAGTTGTATGTTTTACCGAAGTATCATTGTTATTAGAGTCACCAATATTACTATTATTAATATCACCGTCATCAATATCTTTGATTGAATGAATAGAAGAATCATCGTCTATTGTGAGTTTAACACCTAAACCAGCACCTACGTCTGGATTAATTTCTTCAATATCACCCAAAAGTCCAATGGCTTTATAATCGCTATTGCCGCCATCAACGTTGTCAGCATTATTAAACGATACATCTTCATAATTGCCACCAATACTATCATATTCGGGTACTATTCCACAGCCCAACACATAACTACTCATACTGTGAAATGTAGATAATAACAAAATGACATGAACAATTTCCGTAATTGCCCAATTATCTTGACGATCCTTTGAACCTTTAATCAATCTGGCGATATCTAGTGGTTTTAAACGCCAAGGTTGATGTGCCAGGATTGTATTTAGAGCTGAAAGGTTTCTTATTTTCCTGGGAGCATTATCCAATGATTCTAACCATTTTGGGTCACCGCCTATTATTAAATATTCATTTCTTAATAATGAAACCAAATATTGACATTTATGCTGTGATGCTGCCTATTTATTATCATCATCATCATTATTATTCATTTTGTGAGAGAGAAGAGATAAATTAGCGAGTGTTTTAAAAATTAATAATAATGATTTTTCCTTTTATCAACTAAAAAATATACATATAGTCACCATAATTCCGATATAGAATTTCCACTCCTTTTGTAGAACAGTAGAATTTCTAATTATTTCGTTATAAGTTCTTTGAAACTTTTCCATGAAACTAGGAAAATAAGATAAAACTCTGTAGAAATGGCTTAGCCTGCCAATTTTCACGAAAGTGGTTACCAACAATTTCCTTGTTAAATCATCAGGTTGTTTAACAGCAATTGATGACGTGATTAGATGTGATGACAAGATGGAAGAATTATTCTCCGCTTCTTTATCACTGTCGTTATTAGTGCTCATGCTAGCAGTAGAAACAATTGGAGTGTTTGGTGGTGGATCGATTCTTGTTAGATAGCCGTCATCAAATGAGGAGGAAGCAGTTGATGAAGTAATTGATGAAGTGGGGGATTTTAAAAATGAGGGTGTGGATGTTGTTGCTGATGAGTAATATTCGGTTTGTGGCCATTCCAATGTTAGAATATCTTCAGACGGAATGTAAAATGATGGATTTGGATGGATTGGTAACGGAACAGGAACACCAATATTCTAATATATAAATTTAAATTTTTTTTTAAAAAAAAATTTAAAAATTTGAGAAAATAATTCCTTTCAAATTTTATATTTATTATTTTTTTTTAAATCAATCTTCATATTATATATATGTAAGAAGTTCTGGTTATTTTTTAAATTAAAAAAATTTAAGCAACTTTTAAAAAAAAATATACATATATATATGTATATATAAATTAGATATGAAAAATAGAAAATTTTAAATTAAAAAATAATCATAATTATATATTAAAAACTTACATTTTTATTTCAATTTTCCTACTTTTTCATGTAATGCATATATAAATGCATGCATACATATTTGTATGCGCCATTTCTTTAATTCAAAGTAATAATAAATTTAAAGAATCCTCACCTTTAATTTATCAAGAAGTTTTCTAAAAGAACGTCTAACATCTTGAAAAGGACAATCAATTGACATTCTTAAGATTGTTAGAATTGATAATCTTAGCATATCTTTTTGATCTTTTATAGAATTATCTTCATCTTCCTCCACTTGTTTTTCTCGTATTATATCATTATAATTTTTAAAATTACCTTCTGCAATTATGTTTGCATTTATTTTAACATTTTCTTCTTGTTGTACATTATGATTAGGAACATCTTCTTTTACGTTTGGTGAGGCATTGTAAGAAGATACTGAGGCAACAGAAGTTGAATCATCAGTGAATATTGGTGAAGGAATAGAAGTTTCTTCACTATTATTAAGATTATTATTTACATTTTCGTCTTCTTCTTCTTCTTCTTCTTCTTCTTCTTCTTCTTCTTCTTCTTCGTCATCACCGTCACCGCCACTATTATTGTTGTTGTTATTATTATTATTAAAAGAATCATCTGATACCGGAGATCTTTTAGGTAAATGTGGTGAAGTTATAGTGATATAATCACTATTATTCTTAGTGGTAATATCGCTTATTTGTTGAGGATAGCACTTTTTTGCACAGGTTTTTGCCCATCGATTAATTAGTCTAATCACTTCAGCACGTTCATTTAAATTATCATTTAACAATCCATCAAATAATGCTATATTATATCTAGAAAGTGACGCCATTTTTTCCGCTGCAATAATGAATAACCAATAAATACAAATAATTCAATGTGCGTTAACAATTTAATTAACGTTTCTGATTGAATGAATGAGTGAATGAGAGGATTGATTGATTGATTATTATATTAAGAGGAAAAGATAATAACGAAGAAGGGAAAGGAGGGAAGGAAGAAAAAAGAAAAGAGAGATAAAAATCAAAATAAATATTATATAATATTATTATATAATTATTTTAATTATTAATGATTTTTTTGATAAAAAATTTATTTTATTTATTTTATTTAGATTTAGATTAAAAAGATATTTTAAAATTTTTTTAAATAAAATTAATTTTAAAATTAAATCTTTTTACGAAAAGAATAAAAAATTTTTTGATTCCCAAAACAAAAAAGACAAAGTATTTATATTTTTAAAAATATTATTTGGTCATACAAAAGTAATATTTGGATAAGAAAATCCTGAAATCATGATTTTAAAGTAAATACTTTTTTTATATGTAATAGGTAGGAAAAGGGAGTTCAAAAAGTCACAAAGCTTGTTGTTGATAAAATTTATGATTTTAAAATAGATTTTGTTGTGTGTGTGATTGATTTAACAGTAAGCATCGTGGCGATTATCACATTAAACCCTTGAAACAATTATTTTTAGTCACATATATACATATCCGTTATTTGAAATAGAATGGCAATAGGGATTTTTTTATATTATACATTTTATATATTATTATTATGTAATAATATAAACAATAATAATAATTATTTTATGTAGAATAACAATACATCATTTCAGTAATCATCAATCCCATTTATTACAATAATAAATAATGATTTGTTGTGGGGAAGTTGGAAATATTTAACAGATATTAATATAAATTTAATGCGGCTTCGTTCGACATTTCTATTGACAATTGTATGAATACGTGATAGTGCTAATTACATCATATGGTTTAAAAAAGTTAATAAGTAACTAATTTTCGCTAGTATGTTACTACCTAGTAGTATATTTATGGACTAGTATATTATTAATATGTTATTATTGTCTATTAGTTAGTATATTAGTATACTAGTGAACTATTACGTAAAATTTTAGTATTACAAATAATAATTGTTCATACTGTTAATAGCTTCGGCAGTATTTAAATGTTTTAAACTCAAATTTAAAATATGTATATGTGTATGTATAAATAAATTTAAATTGATAAGTGAGTGATTGATTGATTGGACGACGACGACGATAACGACAACGACTACGATGATGACGACGACGACGATGGTGATGATGATGATGATGATGATGATGGTGGTGGTGGTGATGGTGGTGATGGTGGTGATGGTGATGGTGATGATGGTGGTGATGATGATGAGGTGTCGTGTGTGTATTTTTTTTTTTACTTTTTTGAATTCTTTAATTTGGTTCCACGTGTATCACAGCATTATTTTTATAATTAAAATTTTTCCCACATTTAAATAATAAAACTCTTCAATTTTCCCCGAAATTCATTTATGTGCATGGAACCTTTTCTGATTTAACAAATAAGAAACAAAATATCCCATGATTCACATCAAATTATTAAATCGTTTAATGTTTGTTATATATGATTCGAAATCAACCAATTAATCAATTAAAAGGAGTAAAAGCGAAGGAGGGAGGAGAGTATCCATCCAGAAAATTCTATGGAAATGATCGTTGTAAGACCTTTGTGTTACCTGATATGCATCAATGGTTTGTGAATAAAGCAAGTAAAGTGTAAAGAATGGCGGCAATAAATCGATTAAAATATACAGACTAAATCAAACTGAGCATTAAAAATGTAATCAAAAACCTTAATTAGTTAGCATAAATATTTAAAATTGATTGCACAATTTAATTTAAATTTGGATTTATTACGTCATTATCGCTTGGACTAGTAGACTTTTCAACTCGTAATAATAATATTGAGGAGAGGAGAGTCATTGATCGGATAAGTTGATGGTTGTTGGTTGTTGATTTGATTGATTAACGACGATGGACGACGATCAATTCTATCAACAGATATATTAAAAAAAAGTAGTATATTTCGCGTATACCTACCTTTATTGTTTTATTTACTATTATGAAAAAACAATTTTGTAAGCAAATATTTATTTACTATTATTTCGGTATAATATTTAAGAATCTTTTTCCGAATATATATTATTTAAAAAAAAAGGAAATCACACAAGCCATCCATCCCAGCACGGCCTATTTTCCGACTACAGACAGTTTAGCAATTAGATGTATTTCAAGGGATCTTTTAAAGTGTTACGTTACCCCAAAAAAATTTAATTTTAGGATTTACACAGAAACTTTATTAAAAAAGAATGTTTGCTTGGTCAGGGTACGTACACTCTTAACACTCACACACCACCACACTTGCTTGCGAGTGAGCGTGCATCTATTAATTATATTTATTATTATATGATTTTTATGTATGTGTATGTAATATAATGTGTGTTTTTGTGTGTTTTTATAGGTAAATTAATTTTAATTTTATCAATTAATTATGTGGTTTTTATGTGAAAGAGTGAGAGAACGAAAGAAAAGTGGGAAAAATATGAGTAGGAGGAATATTAATGCAGAAATAGGATTTACAAATCTAGTAAATCACGAAGAATGTACAACATCACTATAAAAATATTTGTGAAATAATAATCTGGAAACAAGTTTAAAAACAAGAAATCATATGTAAACTAATACTATGATTGATTTAAATTAATAATCATCGTAATCATCATCCAATCATTATAATATATATACATGGTATCCCAGTTCTGTTACCCGATCCATATTTAATTAGGAGCAGCAACAAAAATAAATAACATAATTCTCATTTACCATTTACTTAAATTGGCTTAAATCCCTCTTTACTATTATTATTTTATAGTTTTTTTTTTTTTAACAAAAAAAAACACGACAAAAAAGCATCTGCAATTGAATCTTTGCAATTTTAATTTTTTTACTAATAATAAAATAATAATAATAATAATTATAATTATAATAATAATAATAATAATAATAATAAATAATAACAACAACAACAACAACAAATTCAATAGAAGGAAGTTAGTTCATATAAAATCTTGGTAAACTTTAAAGCTTTTAAAGTTTAGTTTTAGGATGTAGATTAGAAATAAGAGACGATAAATATTTTCTTGTCGAATCTCATTAAAATAAGAAAAAGAATCGAGAATTGATTTTTTTAATTTTTAATTTTTTTATATATATGGAAAAACGTTCCATTCTACAAATCAGTAATTGAAAAAAAAAAAACTAAAAAAAGGAATTTTTAAACAAGACGTGAATTACCATTAAGCTGTTTATATGTTCTTAAATATTTGTATTTATGTAAGTTCTTACAAATTATGAGATTGAAATTTACAATTGACTGCGCAACACACTATTCAAATTCAAACATTTTCAAAACTGCAGCCGTGAGTCTTGTTAAATTCATTTTTTACATATGGAGCCAAGTGTTGTGTCCGGGTGCTTACCAAATTTGGTGATTATCAAATCTAATTCTATATATTGGCTGTACTATAAGCTAGTACAAAATTTGTGCAGAAAAAATACCAAGTGTCACGTTACACGCGCCAATTGCCCCACCGAAATATTGCTAAATAATCAACTAAATTGGTGTAAGCATAAATGGATGGATCATCGCAAGTTCTAGACACTGATTAGTTGAGAGGGACAGGGCATAGGACTATTCGTTGGGCGCTGGTGCCAACCAAATTTGGAATTATCTGCATATGATGCAAAGATCTGCACCATATATTTTTTTGACTTCTATTATTAAAAATTTTTTTGCATAAATTCATATCTGAAAGAATCATATCTGTTAAAACTTGGAATAACTAGGAAATAATCTTAAAACGATAGTTGATTTTATATGTATGGTGTAGATATAGTAGGTTTAGCAGATGGTGATCGTATCAATGGGAAAGAAAATAGATAATAAGGAATAAGCAAGCCTGTTTATGACAAAAATTTTCTTTTTGGAATTTAAAACATTGGCGTGGAAATGAAATCTGTAAATTCACGCACGTGAAAATTAAATTGGCCAATCAGAGGGAATTTCTATAATAAACTGTGTAAAAAGTCTTGACATTTTTATTATTATTACCTCTTACCTTCTGCAAATTGATAAAACTGTGATTGACGTTTAAAACTCAATATTAATAAAATCAAAACTTTACATTGCAACTTGCCCATCACTAGGTGAACGTAGATAGGAATTCCCACTCGTGCCCTAAATTTTTTCATTGCATCACATCCCGAGAGATCTACTTTTTTAAGAAACAGGACAACTAGATGATTTGAGCCTCAAAAATCGTTATTGACAATCTATGTATCTGTTGCATGTGAAACCAAAAGGAACCTTTCTTTAAAAGTTGGTCAATTGTTTTGCTCGATCATTAAATTGATCAATAAGAATGTAAAATGCATGTATGTGTTATCTTTGCCAGATAATAATAAAAATAATAATAATAATAATAATAATAATAATAATAATAATAATAATAATAATAATAATAATAATAATAATAATAATAAAATAATAATAATAACAATAACAAATAATAACAATGACTGCTGATAAAAGAATAAGTAGATAAAAATAGTGCAAGATGCGAATGAATCTTTACGAAAAATAAGCAAGTTATGCCATCCTCTAAGAGAATAATAATTGGTACTAGAAATGTTAGTTTAGTTGATTGATTGATTTTACCAAATTAAATTGGAATGGTGGGGTGTTTTACGCAATCACCACGGGCTGCCGCAATTATATTGTGTCAACTTGCATATTAACATGTTTTGTACAAATATCATACAATGTTTGTAAATTTTACGTAATTACTACTACTAATTACATAAGTTTACGCCAGAAAAAATTTTCCTGAATAAAGTCATAAAAATCTGAATGACATATAATTGCATATTATTAAATATCTGTTGTACATCCTATAAAACATCGAAAATACACGGGCCAATTACCTGTAAGGCTCCTTTGATCTAGATCACATTGATAAGAATTGAAGGCCTTCTAAAGGTCAACTGAATCAATTTTGTTTTGTTCAAAATAACTAAATATTAAATGTTAATTCGAACTTCAAAGTCGTTTAACAATTTTAGGATGTTGCATGAAAATGAAATTTTATTATTTTTTATATACAATGATAACTATATTATAAAAATCATACACACTCTCTCTTCCTCGATCGGAAGCATGTGAAGATCATAAATTTTATTTCAAGTTCGTTAAACCCGAATTACTAAACGAACTACTCGGGAGGACATGGTCGGCGAAAAAGTTTCTCTACTTATTACAAATCCGGCGGGATGCTCCGTCCATACTCAATTATATATTATTTCTTTTAAAAAAAAAAAGAAAATTCCTAATATTCATAGCATTATAATAATGCATTACAATTTTTTTTTTTTAATTTTCGCGATACAACTTACTGACTTGACATTTTCATTGTTTGAAATTAATCGGTTACGCAGCGTTTCAAAAAAAATTTCGTTTAAAAAACTATTTCCGTAAATTTTTTTTTCATCGCCAAGTATTTTATATTATAAAAATAATAATCTACTACAACAATGAAAATGGTTTTATTATTATATATCACATATTAACATTAATATATATGTAAAAACTATCTTGGTCCCGTCATTTTTATATTTATCGATCAATCTATTTGAGATTCCAGAACTAAGTATTAGCACATTTCTCATTTTTATTAATTGCGCAAAATTTTGTATAACAGTTTATGGCCTAGGTTCTTACGATCATGCACATTAATCTAGAATGGATATAAATTTCTCAGTTAACCACCCTCCGAAATGTAATTAAAAATTAAAAATATTACAACTTTGTGCAAATTTTTTTTGCTGATGCTTTAATACCATTAAACTAGGCAAAGTTTCTCTTAGTCACTTTTGCAGAATTTACTTGTATATTAGTCTTAATAAAATTGTAAAAATGCTTAAACTTCCAGAAACTACAGTTTATGATACCATTGAACGTTACGAAAATAATTGATGCTTAAAAAACGCATTGAAAAGTGACCGCCCAAAGGCATTAAATGTTAGTGAACAGAAAAGTTAAAATAAATTGCATCGAGAAACAATCGAAGCTCGGTAAGTCGGTCTCTCGATAAGTCAGTTTTCGCCTAACTTTATCAGCCTTTTCTTTCTATATTTTAAAATCACTTGATAAGCCAGCCAACTTGGATAAAATCGCGATAATCTCCTCTTCTAGGATATAGAGGGGTAAATTACCCTCGATAGGTCGGTATCACGTGATATTTGCATTAAGCGAGAGATCATCATTACTATTTTTAGTAACCAATAATATTTTAAAAAAATATCCGTTGTAAAAAAAAAAACTATCTTTGTGGATGTATCATAACAATATATTTATATTTTATTAACTTATTTATATGATTGTTTGCAATAAAATGATGATATAAAAAGCAAACAGCTTATTTGTTTCGGTATTGAGAGAAAAATTAAAGTTTTTTGACGCAAAAAATTCCAAGTCACTAAGTCGGTTCTCTCGATAAGTCAGCACACTATATCCAGCCATTTATGGCCGACTTATCGACTTTACCTAATCTAAGACCTAAAACTTTCTTCGCTCAGCTTCAGTTAACTCGGTATTTTTAATAATTAAATCAAATCAAAGTCGAAAGATTTTATCAGAGTTTGATTATTTTTAATAAAAAATTTTTCCACCAGTGATAAAGTTTTTATGTTATAACTTGGGCTATATAAAATGATGTTTTTTTTACAATGTAAAAATTTTGGGAAAATTAAAAAAATTCAAAAACAAATTTAATTGAAGTTCATTTTTTAATTAAAATATTAACATGAATACTAATAACATAAAATTTACATCCATATTCGTTAGAACCTATGCTACATAAAAATAATTTTTATTTTACGTAATTAATAACAAACGAGATTCGGATGCTTTATTTCAGGAAGCGTATATGTTGTTATGTACTGTATATGAAATTCTTTATTTTTTATATAAATCTTCAATTTTTCTAATCTCGTATATAAATATGCCAACACGCAAAAAAAGAAAAATAACCTTTACCATAGAAAAGCAGCCTCAGGGAAATGTCACACGACTAATTGGCAAATTTTTGCTATTATATTTTTAATTTTATAATTTACATGTTATTTGTATCATACGATTTATTTATTAAGGATATCGAGTTAATGATACAACGCATAAGGTAAATTGGCTAATATACAAAAATGATAATTATAAAAAAATTTATTGATATTTATACAGAAAGCGTTAACATTTTCAATAATGTGAGGAGAGGAGTTTATTAGATTTTCATTATAGAATGAAAATTTTATTATTAAAAAAGACAAAAGAGAAGTTCATATATAGTGTGATTTTGCTTATATAGATAGAGAGTTAACTGTATAACTGTATATGGAATATTAACACAAAAGGCTGTTTGTAGAAAGAGAAGATTATATTTAATTAATGTAATATTTGTTTGTACAACCATTCAATAATTTGATGATCTGCAGAAAGAAGATAATAAATATATTTATTACATTGCATTAAATCAAATTCTTTCCCAAATAACGACATTTAGTGACCAACCTTAATATTAAAAAGATAAATACACATACAAACGTGCTGAAAAAAGTAATTTATAAAGTAATAACAAAATCCGATTTTATTATTATATACAAATATTAATATTAAGATCAATCAATAAAATCATCGAATTCAGCAATTATATTTTTGTGTGACAAATAGGTATTAAATTAAATGAATAATAATGGGAAAAAATAAGACAAAAAAATATACTAAATATGGTTCAGTTAATTAATTAAATTTTATTGCAACATAAATAAGAATCTTTTTTTTTAATGTTGATGGTGATGATGAATGAAGTAAAGTTAGATGAGAATATGAAATCTGTGAATGGATTGTTATTAGTATTATTAGTCATTTGTATTAGTGTTATCAGTGTTATTAGTGTTATTAGTGTTATTAATTTTATTACTAGTATTATTAGTATTTAGTATTATTAGTATTATTAGTATTATTATTAGTATTATATTAAATATTTCCACCATTATCATCAACTATAATTATCATTATCGTCATCGTTGTCGTCGTCGTTATATCTGAGGTTATTTGTATCCGAATGTTTTAGATAATTAATTTACGATGATGAAAGCGGCGACACCGATGATCTAAAAGTATAATTACGTGTTAGTATTGTTTTGTTTCGAGATAAAAATAATACGATATAGTAATTGTAAATAAGTTTCTTTTGAATTGTGTGCGTGTATGCAAAAAAATGTTGTGTATATGAGAGATATTTTATGGAAAAAACGTTTATCATAAATGAAAGATTGTTTTATTAATAAAAAGTAAATAATGACGATGAAAAACAATAACAACTACTCATCGATTATTTTTTATATAAGAGAAAGGGCAATGTAATTATTAGAACCTTGCACTGGATTTTATTCTCCCTTTTTAAATTTTTATTTATTATATATATATATATATATTCCTATATTATATATTCCTTCTTTTATATATAAATATAAATATATATATATTATACACTCGTTCTTTTATTTCTTTTTACCTAATTACTTTCACTTTCTTTAATCAATTTTTTCCTTTCCTTTAAAAACATATCCAAGTGTGTATGTAAGAATATTTACTTATTATTCATACAAGTTAAATTTTTTTGGTGAAATTTTTACATTCCTTTAATTTTTCATCGCATTTATCATATTTTCCAAAAGTCCTTTTTTCTATAAAAAAAAAAAGACTTCCTTTAATAAACATTAAACACATCACCGTCATCATCCCTTTTTATTAATCTTGCCTTCTTCTATTTTTAATAATACCTTTGATCAGATAGAATATTTATTTTTTCTAAAATTCGAAATCATTTGGGAAATAAATAAATAGGTACACCGACCGACATTAATATAAATATAAATATTGATTTTCCGATTGTTGATTATTAAAATCAAAAAAATTCATTGATTAGATTTTACCTTTTTAGATTTAAAATTTTTGGATTTTTTAATAATTTTTTTTTTAAATAGAAGAAATGTCAATAATTAATAACACTAACTCACCAATAACACCCATTACAATAACTTCAACTACAACAACACCAACAACACCAACACTATTATCAACACCATCATCATATTCGTCACCATCACCGCCATCATTATCTAACATGATGATTTCTCCTCTTCCTCCCCCTTATATAAATAATTGTGATCAAGGGGGAGTATTTATTAATAATATTAATTATGAAATTGGGTTGGAGATGATTGGCGGAAATAATGGCGTTGTTGTTGGTAGCAATGATAATTTTATTAATAATATTAATAATAACATCAACGGCATTAATAATGATTTATCATCTAATCAGTTGGATCAACAACAGCAATCAAATACCCCAAACTATCTTACTTCTTATCGTCGAAGTTCATCTGCTAGCAACATTTATTTTTTGGCAAAAACAAATCAAAATCAATTATTAGGAATCAATTGTAATGATAATAGTAATGACAATAGTAGTAAGATTATTGTTCCAACTCAACATCATCAACAGCCATTAGAATCTAATGATAATAATAATGATATTAATAATATAATAAATCAAAGTCATCATCAGCTCCAACTTCAACAATTACAACCTAATTTTCATCATATTCCATATGCTCAATTGACCACTAGAAGTTCTACACCAAATCTTCATGGCTCTTCTTATTCTTCTACTATCATTGATCCAAATAAAATAATTAATAAACAACTTGATAAATCTGATAAAAAAAATCAAAGAAGCATGCCAAATATACAATTTCATGCCAAAGCTCATAAAAATATTAATATTAGTGATAATATCAATAATGTTGGTAGTAATAATAATATTAGCAATGTTGGTAATTCAATATTTCTGATGGACCATCTTCATAATAATTCCTTATCAACTCCTAATACACCAACATTACTGCATTCAGAACAAAATGATCATAATAATCATAATGGTAACAACTCTAATTTTCCACTATCTTCATCTTCATCATCATCATCATTATTAAAATCACCAAATCAAATACCTCGTAAAGGCCATTGGCGTAAAAGGTCATTATCAGCTCCTATTCCATTTTTAACCAATCAAGTTGAGCAAAGTGGTATTGTTGTTCCATCATTACATCACCATCACCATCACCATCACCATCATCAACAACAACGATATTGCCACCTTTATCATCATCCAATTAATTGTTTACCAATCTCCTCACCATTTACTATTAGAAAACCACATGTTTCATTACCACCAATCCAAATTCAACGAAACCCAAAGCATTCACAATCAACTCCATCAATGTCTTCTGAGGAATGTCGACGTAAATTAAATGAGGAATTGGAAAAAGTTGATTTCGATGATATCACTGTTAGCGAACTTAAAGAATTGTTAAGACAACGTGGTAAACCTGCCACTGGTAAAAAATCTATTCTTATGCAAAGGCTTCAAGAAGAAATTGAATTAGTTAAAGCAATGAAGAACTGTGCTGCTAGTAATAATAAGGATGGAAATGGTAACAATAATAATACTGGAAATAATAACATTGATAATAATAATACCATCAATACCACAAGTACTAATAGTGATGATGATGATGATGACCAGCAGCAACAACAGAGTCATCAGCAATTTGAACAACAATACCAGCCAATGATTACATCTCAAACATCTAAAAACTCTACTTTATTTGCTCCACCAACTTTAAATTCAACAGTCAATCCAAATGGTGATGATGTTCCTTTTCCTAATAATTGTATGACAGTAAATAATAATGCAACAGGTGATTGGCCTGATGTTAATTTTTCTTTATTGCAACAAAATATCAATGATCCTAACAACACAACTTCTCAATATGATTTTTTATTTCAAAAACATCCACCAACTTCTGCTACATCTGCTCCTGCTGTTAAACCAAAATTTGATTTTGTCTCTTTAACAAATAATCACAATGATATTGTGGTTAATGATAATATTGTTATTAAGGATGAAGAAATGAACAATTCAGATAATTCTGACAATGGTTATAATATTTATAATCAACAATCTTCAACTGCTCCTCCAATGTTTACAGAATTTGGTAATTTTGGCTTTACAAATCCTCATCCTCATCCTCATCATCATGGAGATTTATCTTTTCAACCTAACCCACAGAACAATCATCACTTCTTGAATTTATATAATGATAATAATAATAATCAACAACAACAACAAGAAAATCTAATGATTAAAATTGAAGGTATATATATAATTAAAATTAAAAAATTTTGTTTTTAATTTTCATTATTGGAAAAAATTGGTTTATTTTTTTTTGGATATATTTATTAATTGTTTTCATTTTTATTAATTAGAAAATAACTTGGGCATTTTAAATTATCCACCAACAACAACATCTGCTGCTACTTCTCACATTCTAACTCAACAATTAAATCAAAATCATATACCAATGCAAATTGAAGATGTTTGTATGTCATTTGGTGAGGTGGGTAATTAAGAATTGAATCAATCAATTTGTGAAGAATTTTAATAAAAAAAAAATACAATATATAAAACTTTATTATTGTTGGTATTATCAGTAATAGTAGGATTTTCAATGCTATTCTCAGTAGTATTTTTTAAATTATAAATGATTAGATTTAGATGAATTTTTTAGCAAAAGTAACTTCAAATTATTTCATGGCAATGAAACAAAATTGTTTTAATTTTAAAAATATAAAAATTGAAATAATATACATTAGTAGATATATAGATATATAGATTTTGAGTTCTTTACTGAATGACATTTTACCTATAGAAGGCAGTAATGGGTGACTTCATCTTTCCTTAATGTTCTTAATGGCCTATGATCATAGGTCATTTGGTTGGTCATAAATTTTACAACAAATAAAATTCACAATGAAATTTTTATTTAAAAATATTAGATATTGTTATATATTAAAAAAAGTTTATCTGCAGAAAATTGAGGAAAACTTTATCATAATTACCAGTTATATAGGAAAAATCATAATTGTGATTTCTTTGTTTTATTAGGAATGATTCAAATAATTCAAAATTCAAGAGCTGCTTGAATTTGCTGTATATGCAAAATATAGATCTAACCATAACATCTGGATACTTTACTACCAACAAAGCAACAACCACCTTTACTAATTGCAAAAGTTTTAAGTCAACTTATGCTGATGAAAAAGTACAAGAAGTTTGTATATACCTGAAGACTCAAAAAACAATGAGTATAGACATTTTGTACTATACACTTTTGTATTTCTGTACTGTACAATCTAAAAATGAACAATTTTGAAAAAGTTGTACAGTACACAATACCTGTGCCCTGCTAGGACCCCAGATTATTATAATTGAGGTAACATCTGATTTTGATGAAGTTTTTTGCTGAAGTTATATGAAAATTTTGGTAAAGACTTTTAAGAGGTGGTGTGACTATTTTGAGTATAGCAGGAAATTTTTATTATAAGTCATGCAAGAGTTAAATTGTAATTGTTTGACATAAAAAGTTTATGCCCTTTTCCATTTTAAGTAAGTTCTCTAAAGACCCTCCCTGCTCATTATATACTAAATCATTGACAACAGGATCAGTCATGTTACCAGTCAATTGGGTCAATTGGTGTAACATTTTAACCATATTTAGCATGGCAATGGACTATTTTCCAAACAAATCATAATAATAATATAAAGGGTGTTCAAAGTTGTTCCACTCCTGTTTTCTGTTCCTTGTTACATGCCCAAACCTAATTTTTATTGGCTGATCAGAAAGAACAGAGAAACAACAAATTTGTTCAAATTTAAAATATATCTTTAAAAAAATGCATAAATTTTATTATGTAGATCATACATGTCAGCCAAAATTGTTTTTGCCAAATAGTTTGGTCACATTCTGCTTTTCATATTCTTTATATTGTGAGATTGTAAACCGTGGACCAACCAATTGCCCGTTAATATAGACCAATTAGAACGAACTTAATATGGTCGTCATGTGATATGCTAAATATTACATCACGATTAACGATCATCTTTCTATATTTATTGTAATGGTTGCGCCACATATTGCGTCACATTATACATGTAGATCATTACATCATTTCTATATATATATACTTAACTTATTTTTATGACATAATTATTTACTTCAAATTATTAATCAAATTATTTGTATTATTCATCAACCAAAATAATTAGTAGCATTAGTAATTAGCAATTAGTAAGCTAGTAATATAGAAAATAGGATTAAAAAGCATATTTTATTGGATAAAATAGAGTAGAACTCATGTTATTTGTAATACCTCAAGAGGTATAAAAAGGCATGGTTTTAGACCAAGCGAGAATCATTATGTTGATAACATTCATAATAATTGAAAAAAAATTTTCTTCTCCCCCCTGGTTGTTAATAATTAAATAAACATATTTTATCTTATTACAAATTTTGCATAGTTAACAGGAAAAGCCATTGTGAATTGTTCCATGATCCTCTCTGATGGTTAGTGGTCTGCCTACTAATCATTAGTTAGAACCCCCCCATTTGATTGTTCTATGTTGCTTGTAGGGATGCCTCAAGTGGTATAGTAGTAAATATTTCTTTTATATATTCTTTTTATTTTATCTTAGGCTGTGTGCCAACAGTGTTTAGCATTAGCACTGTTAGTATTAGGAATTGTGCAAAGGATAAGTTAGGCTGTGTGCTGGCAATACTAGAGGAAAGTATTGTTAGTATAGGGATTAGGAACCTTTGAGCTATAAGCTAAAGGAGATTGCATACATATTGGATGTTTTATATTTATTTCATCTTATATACTTATTGGACACGCCATGAGCTGTATTTAGAATTGCATGCTTGCAATATTAATTATCATAAAAAAACTAACCAGAGTTTTGGCTATTGAATAAAGGGATTCAAATAATTTTGGATACAATTTTTGGCCACTATTAAAATTAATTTCAGCTACTATGAAAAGCTATTTGGCATTTTGAATTTGGCAATGATCATTCACTATTGCTTAAATGGTTAATTGGCTATTGATATGATAGCTGATAAAATTTTTCTGATATATAAAATTTTCTCTAAGCATATCACTTCCTAATGTGAAAATGATCTCTTCTTTCCTTAGATTATTACGACCTAATTATGACATTATGGCATGTCAAAAGTCATAATAGATAGTTTGGGCTGTATGCATAATCTCTGGAACTACCCAAAACTGAGTTAATTTCTCCCATCATCATTAAGTCCTGGAAAATAATTTGCAGTGAGTTAGAATAACTTTCTTTATTTTTTCTAAATAAAATTTATTTTCTATATTTACAAGTTATATTAAGGATTGTATTAATAATATTCAAATAAGTTGATTTCTTGTAGTGGGAGGGAAATTAGATCACAGACAACAAGGACAAGTTGTAAGTTGAACTATTCAGAATTTGACCACAATTTTTCTGTCATCATTAAACACCAGGAAATAATTTACAAGAGAGTTGAAATAATTTTCTTTATTGTTTCTAAATAATTTTGTTTTCTATTATTTATAATTTATTAAAGATACTTCAAATAAATTGATTTCTTGTGGTGAACAGGAAATTAGATCACAGCAAAAGCAAGTTGTTAATATTGAGCTATTTAAACTTGACCATGTAATTTCTCCTCTCATCATTAAGTCTTGGGAAATAATTTACAGGAGAATTAATATAATTTTCTTTATTGTTTTTAAATAAGTTTGCTTTCTATTATTTGTATTAATAACAACATACTTCAATGGAATATTTGATATCAGTTGATCAACAAATCTAATTAATATCAATAAGGTCAAATTGATAAATATATAAGAAATGATAATAAAAATAAAATGAATTTATCAACAAGTCAGCCAATTGTATTACTTACACATGTTCTATCCTCTACTGAACAAGATAAACTAGGGAAAAAAATGGCAAATATTCATTTGAGTAGTATAGTAAGTATAAGTGTAAAGATAAAGAGCTTTGTTAATTGTATTGGTGTACAATGGTGATATTAAACAATTTTGAACCTGAAATTCTTGGTATCCCTTAAACAGTTAATCAGCTATTGATAGCTGATAGAATTTTTCTAATATATAAAGTTTTCTCTAAGCATATCACTTCATAAGATAACATCTACAAACATGCTTACGGCTTATAGATTACATCTTTCTCTTCATCACAAAATAGTTCCATCAGACATTGATTGATTAAATATAAACCATAGCTGCTTTCTAAAATGTTCTCTCTCTGCATAACAAAATGTTCAAGATATACTAATTTGTGGCTGCAGGTAGCATAAATATGCATGCTCACACACACTAGTATGTTGAAGCTTCTTTTTCTTATTTCTTTCCCTCATAATATTACTAACCCTTTCCTTTTCTTTTAGATTCAGAAATCATCATCTGCTTTATCTTTTGGTGATTTAGACTCTTTGTCTTGCAAGTTCTCTTCCTTGAATAGTTTTTTTTTTTTGATGATGTAATCTTGTGACATTTATTAATTTAAAATTGATAAAAAAATTTTAATATTTACAATGAATAATTCCCCCATTTTACCAAAAAATTATAATTGTTTGGCACCGTGATTAGTGATACATTGTATTCCAGTTTATCTATAAGATTGGTTTTTTTCTTAGTTTTGACTTTGATATTCTTAACTTCAAGCTCAGCATACTTCTTTCTAAATTTGCTAACCTTGACTGTAAACTTGGTATTTATAGTGATCACAATCATCATATTCATGAATATTCATTAAGGGGTTACAGTTATCAAAATCAAGTGATTGACACATAATTTTAAGGGATTTTTGGATTTTTGATAAGTGTAACCCCCTTAATGAATATATATGATGATTGTGATCACTAGGTATTTAATTCTCTTAATGAAATAATTGTAGATTGTGTATCTGCCATTGTTGTATATAAGTGCAGATATATTCAATTCTTTATCATAAATATATAATTTACATGATAAAAATCCCTGAACTATGTAACATCAATATCAATATATCACTGATAACAGCAAAATATATGTGTAAAATAAACATCATTGTTTATGATAAATCGGCCACCAAGGCCAGCTTATTGATGCAGTAAAAATAAAAAATAAAATACATGATAAAAACATTGCAGATCATGCAATTTAATAATGATTATTACAATTATGGAATACTTTATTGATTTTTCCTATACCCAAATCAGATGCTTATGATCACCAAATAATAAATTTTTACAAGATATTTTATATTTCTCATTCAATGACCACATTAGAATGGTACTACAAAATATAAATCCAATGTATACACAAATTCTATCAAGCTGGTAAATAAAAACTTTAATTTCATATTTAATCAGAAGTCAATGGGCAAGGGTATCCAGAATACCTTGATGAAGATGGCGAAGGTGGATCATTATCATTACTATCATCATGATCATTAGGTGTAAGAGAATAAGGATTTATTGTTTGAGCTCTTTTTCCGGTTGGATTTAATGGTGAACCCTTGTTTACATCACTGATGTAGTCTTTCAATATTGATAATTGTGAATGCAATGCTGTATTTTGCCAATGCGATTTCTTAAATTCTTCAAGTAACCAAAAGGAATTATCTAAGCCTCTCTGTAAAAAATAATTAGAATAAGACTTTTTAATATAAGGAATGCATTCAAATTTTACTTACCCCAAATTCCATAAAATTCTTAATGCATGCACTAATTCATAATTATACATGTAACCCAAAGTATTTTGACACTGTCATAAAGGGGGTTACACATGTCATAAACTTATGCTTTTAATAGTGAGTGCTGTAATTAATTTCTACTTTCTACCATCAAAATCACCAAACCAATTTGGGCTGCATGTATATTAATAATGCTCATCCCAATTAATTGGCAAACAAAATGTACCAATTAAAAACATTCTGTAAACTTTTGAAACTGGCAGATCCATTCTCCACACCTGCACCCCTTGACCTGTATGCATAAAAAAAAATAAATTATTTACCATATAAAATTAAAATACTGAGTTTATTTATCAACTTACCATGTATGTGAAAGAACTACATAAGTAAATTTCTCAAAATTTTATGATCTCCACAATTGCATTTTTTCACAATATCATTGAGAATATCATGACACCCCCAATAACCTTTAACATGGTCTTTTATATATCTAGGCATATCTGAAGTTAAGTAACCACTTGATAACTCAACCATTCCAATTTCAAGTCCTTTATTTCCTGGAGTATGAAATAAACCATCCACCTTCATACCTAAAGGTTTGTCATCTTCAGGTTTTAAATTACACCTCAATAATCTTTGATTAGCATTTGCTTTTAGATGAATTTCACCACTACTTTATTTGTTTGAAAAAAAGGTTTTTAAAGCTTTCAAGAAAAATAAAATGTAAATCAAAATATAATTCTATATTAACATATGGAATATAAGTAACATGGTCAGTTGTATTCATGAGGTACTGTAATATTGGGTGAATCATTGATGATCCTAAAAGTGCCTCATTTTTATGTATATCATGAAAAGCAGATGCTGTATTAAATACATTACTTGCACTTCAAAATTGATCAAAATTAATCAATAAATAATAAATAAATGAAAAATATCAGAGATTAATTCTAATGAATTATTGTTAGGACACTTGCAACCACCAAAGAACATCCGTAATAAATTCCATTCCAGTATCAATGTCATTTTTGTATTTTGCTTCACAAATGATTTTCTTATATTCAGTTAAAGAGTCCTATCATTAACATTTGTTAATAAAATTTTATTAAAAAAAAATAACAATATCAGTTACACTTACAGTCTTTAAAAGTAAAATTAGTAATTCTTCTGTGTTAGAAGATAATTTAAAGCATGGGAATTCAACACTTGAATTCAAATAGATCCAATCTTCATCCTCTATCCATTCAAGATTACAAACATTGACACCAATATGTATTATTCCAAAATGTGATGGACTAAAGATATAACAAATAACAATTGTATATGTGAAATTGGAAGGTGAGATAAAAGAAAATATAAATCTGCAACTTACTGCAATTTGTGAAGATTCTTTTGTCCATAAATTATATTTCTTATTGATCTTCCTGAAGGTAAAAGCCAATTATCTTTCAGGCCATCTACATTTGGATATTTTTGTACAATAGACACACTACTGGGTTCTGCCTCATTGATATTTGTTTCTACATCATTTAGCAGATAAAAATCTGAAATCTCATTTTCTCCAATAATTATCTCATTGTTAAGCTCTAACTCTTCCAACTCCACCGATTTTATATTGTTGTTGCTACCTGAACTTCCATTTATTTCCAAATTTTCTTTATCAACATCACATTTTCTTTTTTAAGTTTTTGGTTGGATATATATATATAAGAAAATGAATAATATGGAATAACAAAAAAAATTAAAAAATTTTATTTTAACTAGAGTAATGATGAGTGGCAGGCAATAACCACCACCACCCTTAAAACACTTACCCTCTTTCAACTAATTCTTTTTCTGCCCTTCTTTTATTGGTATTTTTGAATCTGTTTGATGACATTTTTAATAAAATAAAATAAAAGAAGTTTGTGATTTGATCAATGTGTACACATTAATCATTTATCCTATTGGTTTTTTTTTTAGGAGGATAGATGCAAATTGATTTTTTTTTGGAAAAACAAAAAATAATACATTTTTTGACAGAGTCCAAGGTGACAAACATGATTGTTGTTGTCTGATTTGGTTTGGGTCTCCTAAAGAAACGTGTTAATAACTAACCAGTGATACTTTTTTTATTTGTATGATGTGTCTTTTATTTTAGCTTATAAATATTTTAATTGGAATCAAAACACGGAGCAAATCTTGCTGTGTAATTACAAGATTTCATTGATAATATTTTGCTTTGCATAATCGTAATAATAATACTAATATTATATTATTATAATTACAAGATGTCAAGGCAGCATTATCCCTTAAACGGTCAAAGTATTCTTTAGTAGTAGTAACACAAAATAATTTTTTGATCACGATCTTTAGGGATGTGACGGTTTATGTCTCGTCCGGCGACGAATAATATTTTTATAATTGATACGTGACGATTAATATACTAAATTACAGGTGACATTTATATTGCCAAAACAAGACAAATTAATTGTCACTTATAATTTAGTAATTAATCGTCACGGATCAATTATAAAAATATTATTCGTCGCCGGACGTGACATAAACCGTCCCCATCCCTACGTGTGACAAACTCGTATAATTTTGAGCTTTAATTTCATAGTGACATGATATATGTAGAGAAATGCTTTGGCTTCAAAACTACAATTTGTTTTTTTGGAAGAATTAAAGCCAATAATCAACAAATATTGCTATTTTTAAACTATTATTGGATACCAAAAATGGTCAAAGGAGTAATTCGTTGCAGCCGGATTTTTTTTTGTTAGTATTAATATGTGGTAAGGTAAAATTTTCGTCGATTAAAAATATTTCCACGTGATATTTCCCATTCGTATCACAAAGATTTTCTTAAATTTTATTGGCTAAAATTGTATACGTGATAAATTTTAAAAAACTTGAAATTCGCCCACTCTATTAGTTAATTTGGTACCCTCTGCTTTTAAAATATTTTTATTTTAATTCCTTTGGTTTGGTCAGACGGGGATTACAAAATTTGCATAAAGGTTCCATTTTGGCCACCCATAGTGTATATATATATCTGGATTCTTCATTTACTGCACTTTGTCATTGAAATTCAAATAGGCATGACTTACGTACTAAGCGAAAGGGGTTTTACGTAAAAATTTGCAATGGCTATCATAGTTTTTCATCTGAAATAAAATCATTGCTCCAACGCGTCACGATTTTGTGGTGTTTAAAAATGGTTTTGCAATTCTTCTTTGAAATAATCAAAAAACTGCACAAAGTGGACAAATCTCGTGTACCTCATGCCAAAATTGAATCATTTAAAACTTCGTTTGTAGGCAACCAATTGGAAATTGTCAACTTTTAAAACTCGTTTCTTTCATCCTTTTTTTATTGTGTTTTTAAATATTTCACCCTAAACAATACCTTTTGATTTTTCTAGTAAATTATTTACATATTTATTAACGTATTCAACCATCAAATTAAATTCATGGATCCAGTATGCTATTTGAATGAATATTTGTAAATTGCATATTTCATTCAAAAAAAGGATATTTCTAAAAAAAATTTTTTTATCATAATTTAATTTATTCCAAAACAAATAAATAGTTAATCATTATGTAAGGTTTAGCAAATCTGGGCTCTGAAATTGAAAAAAATCAAATTATATATTTGCAATACCCCCAAAAAATACAGAAATGCTTTCCTGATAAAGAAAACTGTGAAATGTTTCATTAGGTGATTTTGAGATATCAAGTATGGATTTAAAAACGAATCTCGCCATTTCTACATAAAAATATTTTTTTACGCGATAACACACGAGTCTAAATTTAGAATAATAGTAAAATATGAACTAAAAAAGAATAGAACTCAGCCAATAATAGAGCTATTTTTAAAAAAACCACATGCAAGGTTCCAAATATATAAATCATGTGATAATACGCCAATTTTCTCAGCTTTTGGTAATAGTAATAGAGATCGGAGGAATTGAAATTTCACCGAGAATTCTTAGCAGTATCTTTTTAAGTCATCCTAATAAACATTCTGTCTATTGTATCTTCTTATTAAATCAACTTTCAGAGAAAATGTCATTTTGAATTATTTACATATAAATTTAGATCTTTAAACTGCATGACAAAATTAGTCCATGCGAGAATGGATTAAAATCTTCTGGTTAGGAATTTTTTTTTAAAAAAAGAAATAGAATCGCGCAATAAAAGATTTTAGATTATCACACATGTAGAATTTTAAAATGTATTTTAAATTTTTCAAAATAATCATAAAATCGAATTTTATATATGTAATCTTCAGAATGAAAACTGACCACTTTTTGACAGGACAGTATGTGGAGGAATAATAATATATATTGGATTAGCGTATAAGTTGCGTGTACTCCGAAGAAATTTATGATGTTATTGAAGTTTGATACATAGTAACATTTTTTGGTTGTGGTATTGGTTCAATTAGTAATTACTTTTATGAAATGGATGGGTTAAATCCGATCCCTCAATAATTACAGCAATAGTTCATCCAGTTATACCAAATCTTTTCTCAACCTGTCAATTCAAATTATTAGCAAATGTTAATTGTAATTCTCATCAACTTGATTTAGATAACTTGTAATGCTTATTATCGAGAAACATTACATCAAAAATAATTATAAAATCAGTAATATCCTTCTTTAGTTAGTATCATTTAAGAATTCATCATGAAACTCACATCAAACTGTTTTTTGCTAATAATATTTTTATTTGGTCCAAATGAGTGGATGCATTTTACGTGAGGTGACAATATAAAGGACAAATATTCATCACTTTTTTTTTATTCCAAGATTAACAAAACCTCGAATGAAAGTGATGAATTCAATCCAAATAAAAAGTGCGAAATCAAGCTTTACTTTGATAATCCATATATTATTTTTAATTGTTTTAAGATAAAGATGTCGGTTCGTTAGTTGTTTTTTGGGAAGAAAAATTTTCATCGTCATTGATTTTTTCCATGGAAGAGTCCTACAGTACCTACATATTCTATAAATAATGCCACTTTCTCTCGTTCCCTGGATCATCTAATATTATCTTAGAAACTAACAATGATACTAAAATAATGATAATCTGTGCCTCCATAATAAGAAGTGCCAATTCCATTAGCATTTTTATCTTCGATCGATATAATAATAGTTGGTATTACTAACAAATGCTTAACCTTTATCAAGTGGGTTATGAACCGACTATTCAAGAGGGAGCTTTAGACAATAATTAATATTGAATCATCTTGTCGTCAATGACGATTAAATAAACACCAATTCAACGGCTAATTCGACCTGCACTAAACCAAAATTAGTTTTATACACGTATAGATCATCATTTTGTATTACAAAAAAAATTTTTTTTTAATCTCTAGAAAATGACAAACTATAATAAACAAAATATTATCTTTACTTATCGTCAATTATTAAGAGAGGTTAATAAACAGGTAAAAAAATAAATCAAACAGGTTAATCATTATTAATTAATAGTTATAATTGATTTATTGGTTCTTTTTTCCCTCTTCGAATAATAAATTTAAATAGTTTACACAATATAATAAAAGTCCATTATGGAGAAATGAACTTTTGAATTCATTCAAAATCATCAACAACAATAAAATCGAAGATGCTAATGATATATTATGCTACTTAAAAAGCAATCGTAGATATGATGTATGTAGAAATATTTATTTATTATCTTTGAATTCATTTAAAAAAAAAATTTTTTTTTTTTTGGCTATTGTTAAAAATTTTTTTTTTTTTTTTTTAGGAACTTTTAAAATCATTCAATCCTCTTCATGGTGCAACTGAAGAGCATAAAATTGAATTAGCGGCAAATCGTGTTGGTTTAGGTTTGCCTTTAATGTATAATGAAAATGATGCTATTGACGATAATAACAGCAACAACAAGGATGACGTCAATAAAGAGATTGATGAAATCGATACAAAAACCGATAAAGGTGGGATTTTTTAATAAATAAATAAATAAATAAATAAATTTACAAAATCCAAATCATTGTTTTAAAAAAAAAAAGGCTGATAATAATACATGCACATATACATGCACAATACCATTCAAATTTTTCTTTTGTTTCCATTACTATATAATGATAATGGAAACGTAAATTTTTTGGAATTGTTTGTTACACGTAAACAATGTGGAAATCTTTTTCGATTCATCATTATTTGTAGCACGTGCAGAATTTAAATGTATAAATTATGTATTTTTTATTTATTATTATTTACTTTTATTTTAGAAATCCAAAAAACTTTAAAATTTAAAAAATATGGTACAAATTACACGTACACGTACACAATCAGCATTATTAAATATTGATATTATATATATAATATTTTCATATTTTGAGTATCAAGATGATATGTTTAATGTATTGTTGGTTCATTCTTTTTGGACTTTGGTAAATTTTTTAAATTTTTATAAATATTTATATACTTTTTTTCTAAAAAAATTAATAACTTGTATCTAAAAGGTAATTATAGAAAAGTTATGGAAAAGCCCATCATGGAAATCACAATTCAACTTTGTAAAATTCACGAAAACTTTACGTAAAGCTAAAACTGCCTACCCATACGAGAAGATGATTCAAAGTTTCATATTTGATTATTCAGAAATTGTTATTTCACCAGAAGATTTGAGCTTGATTTCAAAAAGATGTAAAAATATCAAATACGTCAGATTTAAAACTTTATCAGCATCTTTTACAGCCGAAACAGTGGCTGCCTTTCTGGAAAATTGTTCAAGTCTAGTCTCGTTCACAATTACAGATAAACCACTCAAATCAAGGCTCGCTAATGCTTTGAAACCTATTAGGGATGGTCATTGTTCGAAACTCTCATATTTAGAATTAAGAAATTTTAAATGGAAGATTGATATTCTTAAAGATATCGGTAGAGCTTGCCCATTAATCAACACATTGGTCGTATCTAATGTTATAACGAATGTTATTGCAGCTGTCATAGTGGAGTTTTTTGTAAATTTGGAGAATTTCACTTGTAATTCGATCACTGGTGCGGGATTTAGAAATTTGTTTTCATCATGGTCATCATCTTCTTCCGCTTGTTGTCAAAAAAATACAAGGAAAAAATTAAAAAAAATATCATTGGAATTTCCTTACATTACTCTAGATGATCTTTATCTTAATTCCCTTCAATCTTTTAAAGAATTTCCACCATTGGAGTCATTAACTTTAAGATTTGGATCTTATTTTGGATTTCGACATTTTTTAAATTTATGGGTAAATAGTTCTCTCTCTCACATTCGCTTTAACATTAGTTAATTTATTAATTTATTGATTCACACATACATCCGCACACATATGCGCACACACACACGCACCACATTCATTAATTCAGGTACAGAATGAAATGTATTTACGTTATATAGAATTAGATTCTGCACCAGGATTTCCTGATGATTTATTTATAACAATGACAAAACATTGTAATCAATTAGAATCGGTAAAATTGAAATCATGCGTGACTCTAACAGACATTTCAATAATGACACTATCAAAATTTCATAACAATCTAAAAGAATTAAAAATCATCGATTGCAATCTATTGACAGACAAATCAATTTTGACCATTGCAAACTATTGTACAAATTTAAAGAGATTTGTACTATTGGGATGTTTAAATATTACCTATGACTCATTATCGAAAATTGTGAAAAATTGCAAGAATTTGTTTGAATTTAGTTTTACGAATAGGCCAAAAATGACACCAAATATTATAATGGATTTGATTATGAATAAAAGGTGTAATTTGGAGTATTTGGATATTAGATCTGATAATTTGGCTACAGCTGATGATGATTCTGCCGACATTAGACATCATCCTTCTTATAAATTTGATTTTTATTTATTAGAAAATCTGGCAAAAGAATGTTGTAATATTAAAAGTTTAAGTTTAAGATTTAACATAATAGGATTATCTCCTGATGTAAGTAAATTAATTTACTAATTTATTTATCGTGGATTTTTTTTCATCTTTTATTTTTAATGAAAATCAAT